GCCAAGGCAGGTAGATCACCTGAGGTCAGGAGTTCAAGACCAGGCTGACCAACATGGTGAAACCCCATCTTAAAAAAATAAATAAATAAAAATAAAAACTGGCTGGGCACGGGTTTTTCCATGTGGCCGCTTCACCCCAGCCCGGGCAATAGAGCAAGACTCTATGTCAAAAAAAAAAAAAAAAAAAAAAAATGCTGGTGCAGTGGCTCACACTTGTAATCCCAGCACTTTGGGAGGCCAAAGTGGATGGATCATCTGAGGTCAGGACATTGAGACCAGCCTGGCCAACATGGTAAAACCCTGTCTCTACTAAAAATACAAAAATTAGCCAAGTGTGGTGGTGCATGCCTGTAATCGCAGCCACTCAGGAGGCTGAGGCCGGAGAAATGCTTGAACCTGGGAGTCGGAGGTTGCAGTGAGGGGAGATCGAGCCACTGCACTCCAGTCTGGCCACAGAGTGAGACTCCATCTCAAAAAACAAAAGAGAGAGAGAGAGAGAGAGTGTGTGTGTGTGTGTGTGCGCGCGCGTTTGTGTGTTTGTTTTGTTATCTAGGCCTGTACTCTCAGCTGCTCAGAAGGCTGAGGCGGAAGGATCCTCTTGAGCACCAGAGTGCAAGTCCTGTGAGACCTTGTCTCTAAAAAAATAGAAACAAAAAAAAATTCCACACCTAAGAGTGGGAGGGGAGGGGATGTATTGATCCACACATAACAGAAAAGGATAGGAGTCTGTGAGCTTTGGCATGGCTGAATCCAGGTGCCTTGATTATCTGGAAGTGTCTCCGTATCTCCTTGTCCTGTTCCCCCGCCCTTTTTTTTTTTTTTGCGGTGCTAGTCACTGGATGAAGCAAGGGCCTTACCCCCACGCGGTTTTAGGTTCCTTGGGAAGACCGAGCACCTCGGCCTGTTCTGTTTCTCTTGTGGTAGCTTTGAACTTAGGCAGCCTTACCCCTTGTGGTGGCAGATGACCTGCCAGATCTCTTGGGTGCCATTTTAGCCACCCAAGAGTTGTCCTTCTCCATAGTCCTGCTCTGTTCACTGCTGAACAGAACAGGCATGTAACATAGGTGCTGAATGAATGGAGTTGCATGTCCATCTTCAACCCTGCCTTGCCTGGGCCACAAGGGTGGGTGGAGTCAGCCCTCCCAACATGTGGACTGAGATGGGTGCAGAGCAGTTCCCGAGAAGGAGAAGGGTCCTGTTATCAGGAGGGTTTCGAGGAAAACCATTTTTTTTTTTTTTCTGTCTGGTTTAGGACCCCTGCGTCCTTAGCACACAGAGCTGCTCCCTTATTCTCTGACTCATCCCAACATAGACCTGCATTGAAAATGCACTGGCTTGAGTTCTCATGGGTGCTGGCTGTGCTGAGCTCCTAAAGCCACATCCCAGGATAACCCTCAATAGTAGAGGGTAAGAATAGGGCTCCTGTGGGGATGCTGGGCTTCTTGCAGCTGGATCAGATGGGGGCAGGGCACCAGCATGGCCAAAGATGCCAGAACCCAGGATTCCTTCTGGAACAGGACAGTGGGCAATTCCAGGCACTGGGCCTTTCCCGTCTTCTCTCCACTCTAGTCAGGAGCCTGTGATCTAAGATCTGTTTGTTCATTTGGATTGGGTGGCATGGAGAGAGGGGCAGGGCTCCGCTGAGGGCCAGGACACCTCAGATGGGCGCCTTAGGCTTGATCTGAGGAATAGCTTTTTTTTTCTTCTTGTTTTTGAGATGGAGTCTCACTCTGTCACCAGGCTGGAGTGCAGTGGCATGATCTCGGCTCACTGCAACCTCTGCCCCTCCTGGATTCAAGCAATTCTGCCTCAGCTTCCCCAGTAGCTGGGACTGTAGGCACCCGCCACCATGCCCACCTAATATTTGTATTTTATATAGAGACAGGGTTTCGCCATGTTGGCCAGGATGGTCTTGATCTCCTGACGTGTGATCCACCTGCCTCAGCCTCTCAAAGTGCTGGGATTACAGGTGTGAGCCGCCTCGCCCCCACCTTTTTTTTTTTTTTTCTGAGATAGAGTCTCACTGTGTCACCCAGGCTGGAATATACTGGTGCAATCTCGGCTCACTGCATACTCTGCCTCCTGGGTTCAAGGGATTCTGGTGCCTCAGCCTCCTGAGTAGCTAGGATTACAGGCACGCACCACCACACCTGGCTGATTTTTGTTTTAGTAGAGATGTTATTTCACTGTGTTGGCTGGTCTTGAACTCCTGACCGCAGGTGATCTGCCAGCCTTGGCCTCCCAAAGTGCTGAGATGACAGGCGTGAGCCACCGCGCCTGGCCGGTCTGAGGCCTATCTACTGAGAGGACCCGAGTCTCAGCTCCTAGTCACACTGTACCCACTGGCTGACCCCAAACCACTCACCCAGCTCCTCCACATCCTCCTCCCACACCTGGAAGAACCAAGATGCGGTGGGGCAGAGTGCCCAAATTAAGAGATTGAATTCATGTTTTTCAGAGATTTTATTAAGAATAAGGCATATGACAGTCACCCTAAAGCACAGGACTCTACTTCTGTGGGTGAATGAGTACACTCTGAAAAGCACTGGATTCAAAAGCGCAGCCAACAGAGAATTTGGAGCAGGGCCCTCTACCCTGACCACAGGGCGCCTGCCAGGCGGTTTTGAAGCCCTGCATGTCCCCCATTCAAGGCTGGCGTGTCCTGGAAAAGGTGCTTGGAGATCTCCCTCCCTGCACTGAGAAGTGCCCCTCTCCCTCTAGGCCTCCCCGCTCTCTCCACCAGGGAGGACTCCATCCTGCTGCTTATATGGGGAAGGGCTACCCCACTTTGGCCCTGGACTAGTCCCCCAAGCTGCAGGGTGCGGTGGCTGGGCTGAGGTGCAGAGCCTCTGACAGCACAGCCCATTGCGCGCTGGCCGAGTTCCAGAGCAGGGGGAGGTCCCCACCAGCAGCTCTGCGTCCTGGATCTGTCCACACTTGGGGTGTGGCAGGAGCTCCACCTAGGGACCCTGAGTGTCCTCTTCAACACTCCCTCTCTCCCAGTGGGGATTCGTGCAGCAGAGGAGAGATATAGTCCTTTCCCTTCTTGGTCACCCAGACATTCCAGCGGCTGCGGGGTGTGGGGGTGGGAGGCTTCCCTAGGGCTGGGTGGGCTCTCAAGCCAAACCCAGGGAGGGTGGGGCCTCTCCTGGGCTCGAGGCTGAGGAGTTTTGGGCAGGGGCCAAGAGCAGGCCAATGACTTTAGCTCCTAGTCTCATTCTGCTGCACGGAGGGTTCTGTGCAGGCCGGTGGAGGGAAGTTTCCATTATTTTCAGGAGGGCGAGGGGGGAATTTCTGTGAAAACTAGAACCCTGCATCTGCCATGGGTTCTCCCCCAGCTTGCCCCAGGTACCTCCAGCACCTCAGCTGAGAGTCAGTGAGTCAGCTGTTCCAGACTCAGAACTTTTCATCTAGGGGATCTCCAAGCTCCCACAAACAACCGTCGTTATCTGTGGTTGCTAGAAGAGAGATGGGAGTTGGGTGGCACTGATGGGGTCACTTCGGGAGAGGCAGGTAGGCCACTGGAAGATCCCTGGGGCCAGAGTGTGGTGGGGCCCCAGCTGGACACCCTGGAGGCCCAGGAGGGAAGGGGGAAGGGGGCTATTGCTACAGAGCTGGGGGGAGGCCAGGCAAAGGGAGCTATGGCTTTTAGTGGGTAGGTGGGCAGATAAAGTACTTTACCATCTCTGCAGAAGAATTGACCTAAGAAAGTCACCCTGTTCACCCCAAAAGTGTGGTTGTGGGAGATGAGGGTGTGTGGGCTCCTCTGGAAAGAGGCTCTTGCCCTCCTTCCCACGGTCCTCTGGGCACCTCTGAGAGAAGAGTGAGGCCCTCACACACAGACAGGTTCAGAAAGAATAGGGGTGCAGTGAGTTACATATACTTGAGGGGGTACAGAGATGGCACAGGCACAACCACAGGACTGGTGGAGGGTAGAGGTGGAGGCAGGCAGAGCAAGGACCCCAGGCCACTTTTTGGCCCATGTGAAACTGGAGAGCACTGTCCCAAGGGTGCCCCAACCTCAGCCATCTGGATCCCAGGAGCTGGAGACCCACAGACCAGGCCTGGTTATTGCTCAGTGGTCTGGGCAGTCCCGGGTGGGCTCAGCTGGGAGGGCTGCACACTGACTGGCTGAGTGTGCTCTCGCTCACTGGTCCCTACTTCTTGCCAATTTCTCCTCCCTCTAACAAATGGAAGGAAAGGGGGTGTGATCGGGGATTCCCCCATCTTCATGGGGCCGTGTTGGGAGAAGAGCTTGTAACCCTAGAGCTTGACTCTGCTCACCTCCCAGACCCCTGGGTAACACGGAATGTGTGGCGTCAAGGTCAGGACCTGTCAGGAAAGGGGTGTCTGTGAAGGAGGTAAAGGCCTCTCCCTGCCCCATGTCCTCCCCTCGAAGCCCCTGGAAGACCTCACAGGCACTTAGGACTTGATGCAGGACCCACAAAGGAGGGATGGCATGGGGCTCCAGGGGTGTGCTTCCTTCTAGGCTGGGCTGGGGGTGGCGGCAACAGGCTGCGCTGAACTGCCCCTCCTGCCTTTGGTGGTGGCTGGGGAGCTTAGGAGAAAGGGCTAGGAGGTGGAGCGTTCTCCTTTCCACCATTCGACATGGAGAACTGCGCATCCCACCACTGCCAGATTCCGACAGGTTCAGGGACATCTCCGGAGGGCGTCCCGGCTGGGGACTCACCTGTGCTCCCACCATGCCCCCCAGCAAACCCAAACCCAAACCCAAACTTCTATCAGTAGCTGCCACTTCCAAGAAGCCAGGCCCTTGTTTTTTCCTTTTTTTGAGACGGAGTTTTGCTCTTGTCGCCCAGGCTGTAGTGCCATGGCGCGATCTCGGCTCACTGCAACCTCCACCTCCCAGGTTCCAGCGATTCTCCTGCCTCGACTTCCCAAGTAGCTGGGATTACAGGCACGCACCACCACGCCCGGCTTTTTGTATTTTTAGTAGAGACGGGGTTTCACCAAGTTGGCCAGGTTGGTCTCGAACTGGTGACCTCCAGGGATCCGCCCGTCTCAGCCTCCCAAGGTGCTGGGATTATAGGCGTGAGCCACCGTGCCGGCCAAGGCCTTCCTTCTTCTTGCCTCTGGGTGCAGCCAGCTGATTAGGAAGCCGAGCAAAATTAGCACCAATAAACAGGACTAGGAAAACCTGGGGCTACCCCCTGAGGGGAAGACAGTTCCTGCCTTCCGGAAGCCTGGCCCGGAGCTTGCCTTTCCATCACCTCCCTTCCCCAGCGCAGCTCCCAGTCCCCGCGTACCCAGCGTGGCGGACTCGGGAAGAGCTGCGCTGGAGACGGCTCTAGACCAAGTCCGGCCACTTGGCCGCTTCTGTAATCCTCTCCCAGGGCCCGCGGATGCGACCTTCCAGAAGTTCAACTTCCAGCAGGCGCATCTTCCCCACCAGGGGCTCTGGGAAGACGCATCTTCTAAAGTGTTCCGTGCTCCCCTGCAAGGACCTGTCGGCAGGTTCGGGGTGGGGGTAAAAGTACAGCCCCGAGCCCGAGCCTCTCCTGAGAGGAAAGAGGCTGGGCGGGAAGGGCGTCGGCGCGTGGGTGGGGAGGCCGGGGGTACCGCTGTCACTCTGCGTGCCTCTCGCAGGCCAGCTCGGCCCTCCCACCCCACCACGGAGTGTCGGCTTTCCCGGGGTCGGGCGTGGCCCCCGTCCCTCCCGTCTCGCTGGCGGGCGGGACCGGGTCAGGATCCGGACAGCTAGGCCTCCCCGGAAAGAAGGTGCCGCCGCTCGGCCCCGCGGAGGCATCTCGCGGGAGGAGAGCGCTGGAAGCTTTGGAAACGTCGGGAAGTACAAAAGGCTGGCGGTTCTAGGGGTGGGGGAGCCGGGGCCGCCGCGACTCGCTTCCTGGAGGAGGGACGGCCGCCCTCGGCCCCCGGGACCTATCTGCGCGGCCCGAGCTGCGTCCCTGGCCGACCCTCCCCGTGCGCCCCGCGTCACCCCGGGCCTACTCCGGGTCCCCGGGCGCGCAAGGCGCTGGATGCTGCGGGCCGGCTCGGTCCGGGGGCTCCTGGGGAGGCGGCTGGCGCGGGCTGCGACCGGTGGGCCGCAGCGGCCTCCGGGCGTAGAGGAAGAGCGCGGGGTCGGGCATGGGTTCGGCGTCGTCCAGGGCGCAGGCCCCGCGGTCCCAGGCGGCCCAGTCCCGGCCGGGGCCCTTGGCGGCGGCCTCGTGGGCGGCGGGCGGGCGGCGGGCCCGCGGTGCGCGGCGGCGAGGCCGGGGTTCGGCGGCAGCGGCGCCGCCGGGGCCCGGGCGCGGGGCCTGCAATCTCTGGCGCGCCGCGTGTAGCTGGCAGGAGAGGTAGGCGGCCGCCTCGGTGTGCTTCTGCAGCTCGGTGCCCAGCACGGTGGCGCGGTGGCTGCGGCGGCGCAGCTCCTCCAGGAAGCGGCGTTCCTCGGTGCGGAGGCTGCAGCGCAGCGCGGACACCAGCGCCTCGCGCTGCGCCACCTCCCGCCGCAGCTCCGCGTTGGCCGCGGCCCGCGCCTCCAGCTGCGACTCCAGGGCGCGGCACTTGCTCTCCAACTCCCGGGATGCCGCCTCTGGAACGGGGCAGAGGCCAGAGGTTACAGTCGCCGCCGGGATTGGAACAGAACCTGCACGGCTCAGCGCTCCGTGCAACAAAGCGCCCAGGCCCGGCGCGGGGGCTCACTCCTGGTATCCCAGCATTTGGGAGGCCGAGGTGGGCAGATCACTTGAGGTCAGGAGTTCGAGACCAGCTTGGTCAGCATGGCGCAACCGCGTCTCTACTAAAAGTACAACACTGAGGCCGGGCGCGGAGGCTCACGCCTGTAATCCCAGCATTTGGGGAGCTGAATTGGTCAGATCAGTTGAGATCAGGAGTTTGAGACCAGCCTGGCCAACATGGTGAAACCCCATTTCTACTGTAAATACAAAAGTTAGCCGGGCATTGTGGTGGGTGCCTGTAATCCCAACTACTCAGAGGCTGAGGCAGGAGGATCGCTTGCATCTAGGAGGCTGAGGTTGCAGTGAGCTGAGATCACGCCATTGCACTCCAGCCTGGGTGACAAAGCGAGACTCCCTCTCAAAAAACAAAAACAACCAAAACAAGCCCCACTCCTGCCCACGCCCTCCAGTTACTCGTCCCACCGAGCTCCCTCTCCTTGCCCACTGGGGCTGCAGTGGCCTTCCTCGTTCTGCCCTTGCACCTATCCTATCCTCTGCTTGGCTTCTCCTCTCATTCTTCAGGTTTCAGCTTAAGTGCAAACCCCTTCCTGGCCCTTTATGCATTCCACAGATAGTTCATGGACCCCTGACCGCGTGCAGTGTGTTAGGTATTGGAGGTAGGGCACATAATAAAACGGTCTCTGCGAAGCTTACAGCATAGTGGGAGAGGCATAGTAAATAATCACAAATAAATGTGAGCTTGCAACTGTGACATGTGGAAAGTCTGCTGTGACTGTAACTGGAGAATGTGACCTCGAGAGGGAAGTCTTCCCAGCAGAAGAGACTGGAGCTAAGATCTAAGTTATATATAGAGATAAACAGGAATTAAGTAGTGAAGACAGGAGAGAAGTGTGCTCCAGACAGAGGAAACAGCTTGTGTAAAAACGCAGTGGCAGGAAGACCTGGTGAGAGGAAGGGAATGAAGGAGGTGTGAGTGTGCGTGGGGAGTCCGTGCCCTTGTTTCCTCCATAGGGCATTTATCACCGTTGTTTTTTTTTTTTTGAGACAAAGTCTCCCTCTGTTGCCAGGCTGGAGTGCAGTGGCATAGCTCACTGCAGCCTCTACTTGAGCCTACAGGCTCAAGTAATCCTCCCACCTCAGCCTTCCCAGGAGCTTGGACCACAGGCATGCACGTTTTTTTTTTTGTACAGACGAGGCTTTGCCATGTTGCCTGGGCTGGTCTCGAACTCCTGGGTTCAGGCAATCCTCCTGCCTCAGCCTCCCAAAATGTTGGGATTACAGGTGTGAGTCATCTTGGTCGGGTGTGGTGGCTCACATCTGGAATCCCAGCACTTTGGGAGGCCAAGGCAGGTGGATCACGAGGTCAGGAGTTTGAGACCAGCCTGACCAACATGGTGAAACCTCATCTCTACTAAAAATACAAAAATTAGCCGGGCGTGGTGGCGCCTGTAACCCCAGCTACTCAGAAGGCTGAGGCAGGAGAATCACTTGAACCCAAGGCTGCAGTGAGCTAAGATCACACCACTGCACTCCAGCCTGGGCAACAGAATGAGACTCCGTTTCAAAAAAAAAAAAAAAAAAAAAAGGTGAGTCACTGCTCCCACCCACATTTGTAATTTTTTTGTTTATTGTTTGCCTTTGCCACGGCAGCAGCTTTCAATCCTGGATAGACATTGGAACTACCCAGAGAGCTTTAAAAAATGCTGTTTCCTGGGCACTACTAAATACCAATTGAATCAGCATCCCTGGAGTTGGACCTGGGAACTGGTGTTGCTTAGATCTTCCCAGGTTGAGGACCCCTGTCTCCTGACCAGGAGCTCTGTCTCAGCAGCACCATATCCTAGGACTTGAGACGTGTAAGTAGGGATGTAGACAGCTGAAAGGGGAAAAAGTGCCCTGGAAGTATGAAAATCACCAAGTGATAAGAGGACAAAGAAAGTTCTTAAGCCCAGTGGGTTGGCACACTCATCCCAGTGACTCAGGGGAGGGCTGAGCGGGGAGGATCTCTTGAGCCTAGAAGTACGAAGCTACAGTGAGCTGTGACTGCCACTGGACACTACAGCCTGGGCAACAGAGCAAGACCCTGTCTCTAAAATAAAAAAAGAGTTCTTCAAGCCCATTGAAAGATAAGATAGGCCAGCACAGTGGCTCACATCTGTAATCCTGGCACTTTGGGAGGCTGAGGCGGGCAAATTGCTTAACCTCAGGAGTTCAAGACCAACGTGGGTGACATGGTGAAACCCCATCTACAAAAAATCTGGGCGTGGTGGCAGGTGTCTGTAGAAACAGCTAATCTTGAGGTTGAGGCGAAAGGATCTCTTGAGCCCACCCAGGAGGTGGAGGTTGCAGTGAGCAGAGATGGTGCCACTACATGCCAGCCTGGGCGACAGAGTATGAGACCCTGTCTCAAAAAGAAAAAAGATAAAAACCAAGACATTGTGTCAGTGGCTTGAACCCAGGTGACCACAAAGACCCTTTCAGACAAAGGACAGTGAGTGGGGGATGAAAGAGGCTTTGTCACAGAACTGTCCTAGTGTCTGGGATGCGTGCTGCCTTCCATCAACCACCGGGGCAGAAGAGGTTGTCCTTTTATGGCGGAATTAGTCCAGGTCCATAAGTGTTTAGATGATCCCTAGCTGATCTTTAAGCATGAATACACAGAGCAATCTGTAGGGCTTCTAACATCATAAACTTCCAGCCTATAGCACTTCTCTATAAGCAACACGGCAATATGGAAGAGAATCTGTTCTTTTTTTTGAGACCGAGTTTCGCTCTTGTTGCCCAGGCTAGAGTGTAATGGGGTGATTTCAGCTCACCCCAACCTCTGCCTCCCGGGTTGAGGCAATTCTTTTGCCTCAGCCTCCCAAGCAGCTGGTATTACAGGCATGCACCACCGTGCCCAGCTAATTTTTTTTTTTTTTTTTTGAGACAGAGTCTCGCTCTATCGCCAGCCTGGAGTGCAGTGGCGTGATCCCGGCTCACTGCAACTTCCGTTTTCCAGTTTCAAGCAGTTCTCCTGCCTCAGCCTCCTGAGTAGCTGGGACTACAGGCACTCACCACCACGCCTGGCTAATATTTTGTACTTTTAGTAGAGATGGGGTTTCACCATGTTGGCAAGGATGGTCTTGAACTCCCGACCTCAGGTGATCCGCCCGTCTTGGCCTCCAAAGTGCTTGGATTACAGGTGTGAGCCACCATGCCCGGCCGGTCTCGATCTCTTGACCTTGTGATCCACCCGCCTCGGCCTCCCAAAGTGCTGGGATTACAGGAGGCTAATTTTTTATATGTACTCAGTCCTGGTTCTGAGCTCTTATAATCTGATGGTAAAGATCTTAACAATGCAGTTTAAAAAAAATTGTGGGGAAAAAGACATGACAAGATTTAGCATCCTAACCATTTGTAGGAGTACCATTCGGTACCGTTAGGTATATACATGTTGGTGTACAACAGATCTTTAGAACTTTCTCATCTTGCAAAACTAAAAATCGATATTCATTGACCCCCCAACCCCCCAATTTTACGGGTGAAGTAATACTCCATAAACAAATATTTTAGTGGAATTTCTTTTTTTGAGACAGTCTCGCTCTGTTGCCCAGCCTGGAGTGAAGTGGCTCAATCTTGGCTCACTGCAACCTCTGCCTCCTGGGTTCAAGTGATTCTCCTGCCTCAGCCTCCTGAGTAGCTGGGCTTACAGACGCGCACCACCACACCCAGCTGATTTGTGTATTTTTAGTACAGACAGGGTTTCACCATGTTGGCCAGTCTGGTCTTGAACTCTTGACCTCAGGTGATCCACCTGCCTCGACCTCCCAAAGTGCTGGGATAACAGGCGTGAGTCACCGCGCCTGACTTTAGTGGAATTTCTAAGACAGCAAGAAGTTTTGTAAAATGCAGGATTTACTAGTGTGTGTGTGTTTCATTTCCTGTAAGTTCCTTGAAGTCAAGGAGCCCATCCTGACATGCATCTTGGCCTCAGCCTGCAATCACTCAGATGAGTGCGCCTTGACACTGACCATGTGATCCCTTGTGCAAGGATGGGAAGGACTGGGGAGGTGAGTCACATTACCATCTCCTTCCTGCTTTCCTTTCCTCACTTTGGACAGAGACATGGATACAGGGCAATGTGTGTGGTGGTGTACGTTGTTCACTGCACAGGGGCATCCCCAAGGTCATCCACTGGGCAAGTGTGGCTGACACCCTGCACTCTGCTCACCGGCCAAGAAGTGACTGTTCCCAAGTCTAGGCTGGTGACAGAGAAGGCTTGGGTCTTACTAAGGGCTGGGGAAACTCCAGCTGTGGGCCCCATGACCCTTCCCCACCAGTAGTCCCTCTCTTACCTTGCTGGTGAGATTGGACCTCTCTCATTTCCAGGTCATGCGTCAGTTCTAGGGGGAAAGAAAAGAAAAGGCAGTTTGTGTGTGTGAGAGAGAGAGATCATGGAATCACAGCTCAGTAAGAGCGGCAATAAGGATCCTTAGAAACCACCCCCATACTATTTTACTGCAGCCTTGCAAGGGGAAGAGATGAAGAGGTGTGTCCAGGATGCAGCCAGAACCTGGCCAGCTGGATTCTAAGCTCAGAAATCTTCCCAGCTCAAGCTTTGAGCCTGGGTTTGGAGTTTAGTTCACCCCTCCTGGGACTCAGGAGGCTGGCTTGTTTTGGGGCTGGGGGAGTATCTACTCTTCCTGGGGTGATATGCCACCTAATGAAAGCAGTCCTGAGGCCGGGCGCAGTGGCTCAAGCCTGTAATCCCAGCACTTTGGGAGGCCGAGGTGGGTGGATCACGAGGTCAGGAGATCGAGACCGTCCTGGTCAACATGGTGAAACCCCGTCTCTACTAAAAATACAAAAAAAAACATTAGCTGGGCATGGTGGTGCGTGCCTGTAATCCCAGCTACTGAGGAGGCTGAGGCAGGAGAATTGCCTGAACCCAGGAGGCGGAGGTTGCGGTGAGCCGAGATCGCGCCATTGCACTCCAGCCTGGGTAACAAGAGTGAAACTCCGTCTCAAAAAAAAAAAATGAAAGCAGTCCTGGAAGACCCTTGCTGTGCAGGGCTTTGACCCTTTCGTGTTTAGCTGATGGCTGCTGGAGTGTCCTGAACTACTTGGTGGCACTGAGGCAGGCTCAGGGCAGTGGCTACTTACCAGTCTGGACACTTGTTTCTCACTGTTTTTTTTTTTTGAGACGGGGGTCTCGCTCTGTTGCCCAGGCTGGAGTGCAGTGGCGTGATCTCGGCCCATTGCAACCTCTGCCTCCCAAATTCAAGCAATTCTCCTGCCTCAGCCTCTCGAGTAGCTGGGACTACAGGCTTCCGCCACCACGCCTGGCTAATTTTTGGTATTTTTAGTAGAGACGGACGGGGTTTCACCATGTTAGCCAGGATGGTCTCGATCTCTTGACCTTGTGATCTGCCCGCCTCGGCCTCCCAAAGTGCTGGCATGACAGGCATGAGCCACCGCACGTGGCTGCTTTTCACTGTTTTGACAGCTGCTACAGTTGAGCCTGTGTTATTATCTGAACATCAGCACTGCCCCCTCCCAAGCCCCAGTTCTATTGTATGCCCCCCAGCAGGGAGAGGGGCTTCAAGGAGGACCGTGCTGCCTTAGTGGTGGAGGCTTGGCATTGACAGGGTGGGGCGGGCAGCCTAGGAGCCACTCGAGGGCAATGGTGCAGGGGCAGTTTCCTCCAGGGTGCTGCAGCCTAGCCACCACCCCTCTGCCTGCCTGTCCCCCCAGTTTCCATTCCTTAGTGCCCTCCAAGCCCCATCTCTCAGCCCAGGTGAGTTTGATAACTTTTCCAGCCCCACCCCCACTCCCGCAACTCCAGCAGGGCTCAAGAGCTGGTACAAGGGCAGAAGGCGGGCAGAGCCACAGCTGCCGGTGATGCAGGCCTACTCAGGGCACCTGTGTACACCTGCAGGCACACAGTCTGGTGCCCAAGGGGAGAAGGTGTGAAGCTGGGGTCGGGTAAGGAAGGCAGCACATCTCTGGGATCAGCCCAGCAGCACCGTCAGGGACTGGCCTGTGACCCTTCTGCCCGCCCCTCCTCACTGCCCTCACTGGGCTCTTCCAGAGCTTTGCCAGAGGTGCCTTCTCTGGGGAGGCCAGTTGTTGCTGGGAGACAGACAGCTGGGATGCCTGAGCCTTCTGCTGTGACCAGAGTCTGAACCTGCTCCCTGGAGCCCCTGTGAGGGCTCCAATACCTCTCTCCAGGGCTTCCTGGGGCCAACTCAGCCCCTCCTCCAAGGCCTTGTGATGTAGCCCAAGGGGCCCTGAACTGGGTTCAGGGATTTGGGGATGGGGATGCCTTGGCTCTCCCATGAACTAACTCCCTGTGGGTGGTTTCTCTTCAGTCCTTAAACCCGGGACTTGGGGGTAGGGAGATAAAAGTCCCAGCTGGGCTGTAGATGAGCATGCGGTGAGGTCACATATGCTGTATGACCTTTGCCAGTAACAGCACCTCTCTGAGCCTCAGTTTTCTCATCTGGAAAATGGGGGCATAATAGCATCTCCTCTCTAAGGAGCTGTCACCAGGATTAAATGAGAAAAAAAATAAAAGTGAGCTCAGCCCAGGGCTAAGCGGGTGCTGAACAAGGGTGGGGAGTTCTTGTCATCATCCACGCTGCTTCGCCCCCCAGAACACACCAACCTCTCCAGCTCTTCGTTCTGAGGCCTCGCCCACCCTCGGCCAGCTCCCTCGGCAGCCTGTCCCCCTCCCAACGCCCTCCCAGATCTGGGTCCCTCTGTAATCTCCTTTCCCTTATCTTCCCTCTTCTCATCAGCTCCTCCTTGGGGGAAAGGCCTTATTCAGCCATTTCAGCCCCGAGAATGGCTGCTGTAGCCCAGCCTGGTTATTTTTATCCCCTTAATCAATAACCGAGAGGTGGTGGGGTATGGAAGCTCACGCCTGTAATCCCAGCACTTTGGCAGGCCAAGGCAGGCAGATCATCAGAGGTCAGGAGTTCAAGACCATCCTGGCCAACATGGTGAAAGCTTGTCTCTGCTATAAGTACAGAAATTAGCAGGGGCGTGGTGGTGAGCGCCTGTAGTCCCAGCTACTTGGGAGGCTGAGGCAGGAGAATGGCTTGAACCTGGAAGGCGGAGGCTGCAGTGAGCTGAGATTGTGCCACTGCACTCCAGCCTGGGTGACAGAGCGACACTCCATCTCAAAAATAAAAAATAGTAATAAAGAAACCGAGGTTTCAGGCCCATAGCCATGTGAGAAGGGCAGTGGGGGTGAGGGCACTCTGTTCCTGCTGGCTTCACACTTGGGGATCTGGCCTGGGTCCTGACAGGAGGGACCATCAGTTCTCAGAATTAGCAAAACAGAAACGAGAGGAACTGCTGTAGGGTCTTAGCATTTTCTCTTTTCTTTTTCTTTCTGTTTAAGATGGAGTCTCACTCTTGTTGCCCAGGCTGGAGTGCTGTGACGCAATCTTGGCTCAACGCAACCACTGTCTTCCAGGTTCAGGTGATTCTCCTACGTCAGCCTCCCAACGAGCTGAGATTACAGGCGCGTGCCACCATGCCTGGCTAATTTTTGTATTTTTAGTAGAGATGGGGTTTCACCATATTGGCCAGACTGGTCTTGAACTCCTGACCTTGTGATCTGCCTGCCTCTGCCTCCTAAAGTGCTGGGATTACAGGTGCTTTCCTCTTATAATTTTGTTATTTCAGTGAAAAGGTGGCATCAGGCATGGGTGAGATACTTGGGTCACTGTTGTCCCCCAAGCTGGCCTCTGCTCCCATCCAGTCTTCAGGGGAGATGAGAATGTGTCTGTGGAGCCTGAGGAAGCTGTAATACCTGAGTCAGGACTACTGGCTTCTCATGTCACAGTGTGGGGAGTAAGCTGGGTCACTCAGATCCTTTGGGACTCAGTTTCCCTGGGCAGTGGGGAGCTCCCAGGAGCAGGTGCTGGAAGGGAGTTAGAAGTCTGAGCATCTTGGGGAAAAGACGTCCAGAAAGCTGCAGAGGCATGTAGGGCCGTGCGTCTGGAGCTGTGGGATCTAATTATCCCTTTGCCACTGACATGCTGGGCGGCTGTCTCTCTGGGCCTTGGTTTACCTAAGTAGGTACAATGAAGAGGCTGGGCCCTCCCAGCTGAGACAGTCTATGAGGCATTGGCTCCAAAGCCTGAATGTGGAGACAGCCTCAGGGAGCACTTGGGGCGGAGCCAAGCCTCTGAGAGCCCCAGGCAGCTGAGACCCCAGGCCCAAGAGCAGAGGCCAGGCCGGGATTTCACTCCGTCCTTAGTGCCTCCCCCCTGCTCCGCCCACAAATCTAGTCCGCAGGCAAGTCCTTTCTTTCAGCCCACCTCCCACCTACGGGTCCCCCCCTTTCCATCCCTCTTCATCTCTTCCCTGGACCATTCACCACCTCTGCCGGTCTCCCTACCTCCCTCTTCCACCAATTCAGCTTCCATACAACTGCCAGACTGAGCTGCTTTTTCTTTCTTTTTTTTCTTTGAGACAGAGTCTCACTCTGTAGCCCCGGCTGGAGTGCAGTAATGTGATCTCCGCTCACTCCAACCTACACCTCCCAGGTTCAAGTGATACTCCTGCCTCAGCCTTCTGAGTAGCTGGGATTACAGGTGTGCACCAGCACGCCTGGCTGATTTTTTGTATTTTTAGTAGTGATGGGGTTTTGCCATGTTGGCCAGGCTAGTCTTGAACTCTTGACCTCAGGTGATCCACCCACCTCAGCCTCCCAAAGTGCTGGGATTACAGGTATCAGCCACCACACCTGGCCCAGAATGAGTTTTTTTTTTTTTTTTTCTTTGAGACAGTCTTGCGCCTGCTCCGTCATCCAGGCTGGAGTGCAGTGGCCTGATCTCGGCTCACCACAACCTCCGCTTCCTGGGTTCAAGCAATTCTCTTGCCTCAGCCTCCTGAGTAGCTGGGATTATAGGCGCACGCCACCGCACCCAGCTGATTTTTGTGTTTTTAGTAGGGACGAGGTTTCACCATGTTGGCCAGGCTGGTCTCAAACTCCTGACCTCATATCTGCTCACCTCGGCCTCCCAAAGTGTTGGGATTACGGGCGTGAGCCACCGCACCTGGCCCAGACTGAGTTTCTTAATGCAGCATAATGCTATCAAGCAGCACTCAGCGGCTCAAAAAACCATCTGTGCCTCCCACTACCCAGGAGGACAAACTCCTTGGCGTTCATGGTATTGGTCAAGGTCTTCCACATTCTGGCTCCAGTTGGATTTTTTTTTTTTTTTTTTTTGGGCAAAGGCTCACCCTGTTGCCCAGGCTGGAGTGCAATGGCACAATCTTGGCTCACTACAACCTCTGCCTCCTGGGTTCAAGCAATTCTCCCGTCTCAGCCTCCCGAGTAGCTGGGACTACAGGCACCTGCCACTGCGCCCAGGTAATTTTTTGTATTTTTGGTAGAGATGGGGTTTCACCATATTGGTCAGGCTGGTCTCAAACTCCTGACTTCAGGTGATTCACCCACCTTGGCCTCTCAAAGTGCTGAGATGACAGGTGTAAGCTGCTGCATCCAGCCTCCAGCTGGATTTCTTATTGGTCTCCTTTAAGTGCTGCTTTATCCATCAACTAGAACTTTCCATGAGCTTCTGGCTTCCCAGCTTCTGGCCTTTGCCGTGCTCTTCCCTTCATCTGGAATGCTCTCTCCACTCCCCTTCCCCTGTGGTGTCTCGGCATGTCCACATGTTACGTAGCCTCCAGGAGCTGAAGCACCGCTCCCCTGGGGAGCCTCAGAGGCTGGGTCTCCTCCCGCGCCTGCTCCTTAGGCTGGATGTGCTCCTGCCCATGAGCTCCTGCTTGATTTCTGCTCTCCCTCCATATCACCAGTTGGCCTGTGTGTCTCCCCAGCTAGACCCAGAGCTGGGAGTTGCCTGGTGAACAGTGACTCTCGGAAAGGATGGGAACCTCCGGGAATGGGTTCCCAGGAGTCCTCCACCACCTAACCAGAGCGCTTTGCCCTGAAACTGTCAGGTGTTCCTAGAACTTCTCTGTCTGTCTCACCTCCCCAAGTCTCAGCTTCCTTATTCAAAAAAAGGGGCAGCAGAATTGGTGCAGTGTGAGGCTCACAGGGGCCGCTGGTGGGCACACCCCAGAAACTGTGGCTGTGAAACTGTGGCTGTGTTGGCCGGGTGCGGTGGCTCACGCCTGTAATCCCAGCACTTTGGGAGGCTGAGGCAGGTGGATCATGAGGCCGGGAGTTCGAGACCAGCCTGGCCAATATGGTGAAACCCAACTCTACTAAAAATACAAAAATTAGCAGGCATGGTGGCGCATGCCTGTAATCGCAGCTACTTAGGAGGTGCAGGCAGGAGAATTGCTTGAACCTGGGAGGGCATAGATGAGATCCAGCCACTGCACTCCAGCCTGGGCAACAGAGCAAGACTCTGTCTCAAAAAAAAAAAAAAGAAAAAAAAGAAAGAAACCAGTGGCTGTGATAATGACAATGACCAGTGACCCTCTCCCACCCGCCTGGCCGTCTCTCCTGGCCTCACCTGAGCAGCGTTTCTGCAGCCTCAGGATCTCCAGGTGCAGGTCTCGCAGCAGGGCCATCTGCTCCTTTTTCAGGAAGCTGATGTGGCGTTGCACGCTCTGGATCTGATGCTGCAGGGACACGGTATCCATGGCAGCCCAGGCCTGGCCCCACCTAGGGAGGATGACAAGGTGAATCCACCTCTTCCGAGCCCATGTGCACTGCCCCACCCTCAGCTCCTTCACCATCTCCTCCGCTCTGGGTCCTGTTGCCACCAGGAAGATGATTCCACCACCACTGTTACTGCCCCGCTGTTTCCTTATTCAGCCTTCATGAAGAAGCAGGGTGTAGGCAGGAAAGCATCGTTATTCCCATTTCACAGATGGAGACCCAGAGGCCCAGGAGGCAATGGTTTCATTCTCCTGCTCCCATGTAACTTTTATTTTTTTCGAGATGGAGCTTTGCTCTGTTGCCCAGGCTGGAGTGCAGTGGCACGATCTTGGCTCACTGCAACCTCAGCCTCCCAGGTAGCAAGGATTACAGGCGCCTGCCACCATGCCTGGTTAATTTTTGTATTTTAGGGTTTCACCATGTTGGCCAGGCTGGTCTCGAACTCCTGACCTTAGGTGATCCACCTGCCTCGGCCTCCCAAAGTGCTGAGATTAAGAGGTGAGCCACTGCACCCGGCCCCGTGTAACTTTAGCCTCTTCTACTTCTCTCTCTCTCTCTTTTTTAAATAGAGATGGGTTTCACTATCTTGGCCAGGCTGGTCTCGAACTCCTGACCTTGTAATCCACCTGCCTCAGCCTCCCAAAGTGCTGGGATTACAGGTGTGAGCCACCGCGTCCAGACAGCCTCTTCTACTTCTCAAACAGGAAAACAAATGGAGTGGCAAAGTGAATAAAGAAAGAAAGAAAACATGGGTTCTAGCCTGCTTCTCCTGCCCTCGCAGTGTGACCTGGGTGAGTCCTCTCCCTCTATGGGCTCTGGGTTTTCTCATGGGTAAAATGAGGGAGTTGTGGAGTGAGTGACCCCCAGTCTCTTCCAGCTCTGACGTCCCACAAGTATCTCAGCCCAAGGGCTACATGGCTATTCTGAGGATAATTCTCCCTTAGTTCAACCTCAACTCAACGACAGTCCAGGGCTCTGGGCGCCTCCAAGTCACAGTGGAAGAAGATGTGAATGTTTCACTAACAGTGACTCTGGGCTGAAGGCAGGTGGTGGAGTCCCTTTTAAAAAGAGAAAGGCTAAGAGTGGTGGCTCATGCCTGTCATTCCAGCACTTTGGGTGGCTGAGTCGGGGTTGGGGGGGATCACCTGAGGTCAGGAGTTCCAGACCAGCCTGGCCAACTTGGTGAAACCCCATCTCTCCCAACAATACAAAAAATTAGCCTAGCATGGTGGTAGGCTCCTGTAATCCCAGCTACTTGGGAGTTTGAGGCAGGAGAAGTGCTTCAACCTGGGAGGCGCAGGTTGCAGTGAGCTGAGACCATGCCATTGCACTCCAGCCTGGAAGGCAGAGTGAGACTCCATCTCTAAATAAATAAACAGATAAAATAAAAGAGAAACAGGCCAGACACTGGCTCACAGCTGTAATCCCAGCACTTTTGGAGCCCAAGGCAGGCAGATCACTTGAGTTCAAGAGTTCGAGACCAGCCTGGCCAACGTGGCGAAACCCCATCTCTACTAAAAATACAAAAAATTAGCTGGGCATGGTGGGGCATATGCCTGTAATCCCAGCTACTTGGGAGGCTGAGGCACAAGGATTGCTTGAACCTGGGAAGTGGAGGTTGCAATGAGCCAAGATCATGCCCCTACACTGCAGCCTGGGCAACAGAGAGCAAGGCTCCGTCTCAAAAATAAATAAATAAATAAAATTTTAAAAAGGAATAGGAGAGGGGGAAAGAGACCCATGCAGTGACTCCCATCGTGGAAACTTGAGTTGTTGTGATGGATGGGGAGGCGTGTGTCCCTGAATCCTAATGATGGCTTGGCTCTCCAGCTCTTCAGGCCCCGCCCCCTTCCCAAGACTCTCTTCTGTGATAATCAGCATCTTGGACAAGCAGCGGCAGACAGCAAACACTGGGGCCCAGGACTACGAGCTTCTGCTTTCTCAGCCAAGGACTCCCTAAGCTTTGCCTTTACCTTTGAGGAAAATGCCTTCACCTGCCCCTGGAATGTCCTGGGCAGTGGGAGAGACAGGCCAGTAAGATGAATAATTCTCTTCACCAAATGGTCCCCTCCAGACTAGCTTCCCTGTAAGACTTGGAAAATCCAGATTTTCATTTGTGGGGTCACATAAAGCAGGTCCCCCTGAGACCTCCCATCCTCGGGACACTCCTCTCTGGGCCCCTTTCTCTGGTACTCCCCTGAGCCCCCCAATCCAGCCAAATAGGCCTTTCATTTCAACAAGGGGTGGCCCTTTGGCCTTTGGGGATCGCTGGCTACATTTGCTGACTGTCTGCTATGTTCAGGGATCATTATACACATGATCTTCCTTCTGTCAACCAAGCTTCAGTAGGTATTATCACCCCACTTCACAAAAAAATACTTTTTCTTGGGCCGGGCGCGGTGGCTCAAGCCTGTAATCCCAGCACTTTGGGAGGCCAAGGCGGGGGGATCACGAGGTCAAGAGATCGAGACCATCCTGGTCAACATGGTGAAACCCCGTCTCTACTAAAAATACAAAAAATTAGCTGGGCATGGTGGCATGTGCCTGTAATCCCAGCTACTCGGGAGGCTGAGGCAGGAGAATTGCCTGAACCCAGGAGGCGGAGGCTGCGGTAAGCCGAGATCGCGCCATTGCACTCCAGCCTGGGTAACATGAGTGAAACTCTGTCTCAAAAAAAAAAAAAAAAAAAAAACTTTTTCTTTTTGGGACAGAATCTCACTCTGTTGCCCAGGCTGGAGTGCAGTGGTGTGATCTCGGCTCACTGCAACCTCCGCCTCCTGGGTTTAAGCGATTCTTCTGCCTCAGGCTCTGGAGTAGCTGGAAATACAGGTGTGTGCCACCACACCCAGCTAATTTTTTGTATTTTTAGTAGAGACAGGGTTTCACTGTGTTAGGATGGTCTTGATCTCCTGACCTTGTGATCCGCCTGCCTCAGCCTCCCAAAGTGCTGGGATTTACAGGCATGAGCCACCGCACCCGGCCAAAAAAAGACTCTTGTGCCGCTTCACACGCTTAGTAAGTGGTGGCAGAGTCAATTCTCCAACCAAGTCCAGAAAAGGTTCCCAATATTTACACTGATATTTACACTGGGAAGAGTCCTAGGTTTGACTCTGTCACCCAGGCTGGAGTACAGTGAGGCGATCTGCAACCTCAAACTCCTGGGCTCTAGCAATCCTTCCACCCCAGCCTCCCAAGTAGATAAGGACTACAGGTGCACGCCACCACTCCTTGCTAATTTTTGATTTTTTTGTAGAGACAGGGTCTCACTATATTGCCCAGGCTGGTGTTCACCTCCTAGCCTCAAGCAATCCTCCCACCTTGGTCTCCCAAAATGCTGGGATTACAGGCATGAGCCACTGCACCCAGCTAATTTGTGGCTGTTTCAGTTACCTGCTGTGTGACTTTTGGGAAGATAATTGACCTCTCTGAGCTATTTTCCCCCTGTAATAAAGATGGGGCTGCAAATCCTACAGTCCTAGGATAGTTGTAAGGATTAAATGAGATAACAAATGTAAGGCTGGGCGAGGTGGCTCACGTCTGTAATCCCAACACTTTGGGAGGCTGGGGTGGGTAGATCACCTGAGGTCAGGAGTTTGAGACCTGGCTGACCAATATGGTGAAACCCTGTCTCAGCCGGTCGCAGTGGCTCACACCTGTAATCCCAGCGCTTTGGGAGGCTGAGGCGGGTGGATCGCCTGAGGTTGGGAGTTCAAGACTAGCCTGACCAACATGGAAAAATCCCATCTCTACTAAAAAGTACAAAATTAGCCGGGCGTGGTGGCGCATGCCTGTAATCCCAGCTATTCGGGAGGCTGAGGCAGGGGAATTGCTTGAATCTGGGAGGCAGAGGTTGCGGTGAGCCGAGATTGCGCCACTGCACTCTAGCCAGGGCAACAAGAGTAAAAAACTGTCTCAAAAAAAAAAAAAAAAAAAAAAAAAAAAAAAAAAAAAAAAAAAAAAAAGAGCCAGACTGCTGGTGCTTAGACATTGTAAGATTATAAATTTATGTTAAGTCACTATGTTTATGATAATTTGTTACACAGCAGTAAAAATCTAATACAGACTTGAAGGAGGGGTAGGAATTAAAGAATGAAAGGAAGAGCATTTGCAACAGGGAACAGCATCTGTGAAGGCACAGAGGTAGGAAAGAACTAAGTGATCATAAGGATAGCTGAGTTTACAGAAGGCTTACTGTGTGTCAAACTTTCTGCTAAGTGCTTCTGGTCTGTCTGAGGAACAGACATTGCCATGGTAGTTAGGGCTGAAATGAAAGGTATACAGGGAAGGAAAGTTATCAAGGGTGGGATCACGTGGCATCTTGTATGTCATGTTAAGAATTTTTAGGCTGGGCGCAGTGGCTCATGCCTGTAATCCCAGTACTTTGGGAGGCCAAGACAGGTGGATCACCTGAGATCAGGAGTTCGAGACCACCCTGGCCAACATGGTGAAACCCCATCTCTACTAAAAATACAAAAATTAGCCAGGCTTGAAGGCAGGTGCCTATAGTCCCAGCTACTCTGGAGGCTGAGGCAGGAGAATCCAGGTAGGCGGAGCTTGCAGTGAGCCAAGATCGTGCCATTGCACTCCAGCTTGGGCAACAGAGCAAGACTCTAACTCCAAAAAAAATATGTAATATTAAGTGAATTTAGAAGTTCTTAAAAGGGCCAGGCATGGTGGCTCACGCCTGTAATCCTAGCACTTTGGGAGGCTGAGGTGGGTGGATCACCTGAGGTCAGGAGTGCAAGACCAGCCTGGCCATCATGGTGAAACCCCATCTTTAAAAAAAAAAAAAGAAAAGAAGTTCTTAAAAGAATTCTAAGCAGTGGAAGAACATACTATGATTTGCATTTTTTTTTGAGACAGGGTCTCACTCTGTCCCCCAGGCTGGAATGCAGTGGCGCAATGATGGCTCATTGCAGCTCGAACTCCCAGGCTCAGGCTGAGACTCCACCTCAGTCCCCCAAGAAGCTGGGACCACAGGCTCATGTTACCATGTCCGGCTAAAAAAGACATGTGGGCACGGTGGCTCACACCTGTATTTCCAGCACTTTGGGAGGCCAAGGTGGGTGAATCATGAGGTCAGGAGATCTAGATCATCCTGGCCAACATGGTGAAACCCCATCTCTACTAAACTATAAAAAATTAGCCAGGTGTGGTGGTGTGCACCTGTGGTCCCAGCTACTCGGGAGGCTGAGGCAGGGGAATCGCTTGAACCTGGGAGGCAGAGGTTGCAGTGAGCTGAGATTGCACCACTGCACTCCAGCCTGGGCAACAGAGCCAGACTGTGTCTCAAAAACAAAAATATAAAAGATAAAATAAAAACAATAATATGCTGGTGCACAAGTCAGGAGAAACAGGTGAGCTGCGTGTGTGTGTAACTGTGTCTGTGTCGGGATTTGTGTGCTTGCAGATCTGTATGTGTGCCTGAGTGTGTGTGCCTCAGGGAGCACGTGTGAGTGTTTCTCGATCCTCTTGCTGCTGTGTCTGCTGTGCGAGGATCCATCCACCTGGAGGATGAAGGTGTGTGGGCCCATGCTTGGGACAAAGAAAAAACATCTGCTCCCAGCCACTGAGATGCAAACGCGTCTGAAGAGAAAAGGCCTTCCCACACAGCTCTGGAGACTGGACTCTGGCCACCGTGAGAGGCTCGGCCAAACAGCTGCTTCTGTGCTTTCCCAGAAACACTTGAGTATTTGCTTCCAACTAGGCAGGCTGCTTTTCTCAGGGCAGAAATTTGGGTCACAAACAATCTTGGCAAATATTCTTCCTTAGGCGTTATTGTTCTTTTGGGGGAGGGTGGGAGACAGCATGGGGAAGGGAACTAGTGACAACCAAAATCTCTCTCTTGTGGCTGGAGAGTTTCAGGCACTACTTCAGAAGGCCCAAGCCAGGAAAACAGATGTTCCCATCAGAAATGCAGTCCTGGAACATCTGGGCTTCAGACGCTCATGCCTGAGGAAGTGGCCTAAGCTAGTCACAGCAGCTGAAGGGCTGGTGCTATCGGCTCCATCTTTCCCCCACATCCAGCACTAGGCACCCAGCCTGAGTTAACATGCTCAGGGAAGAGGGTCACTGTCCTCTGTCCACTGTCCTGACCACATCAGGGACTGCATTGTTTCTGCTTCCCTCCTTCTGGTTCTCTGAGTTTTTTTTCCTGTTAATTTTCCCTTCTTTTTCTTTTTAGAGACGGGGTTTCATTGTGTTGGCCAGGCTGGTCTTGAACTCCTGACCTTAAGTGATCCGCCCGCCTTGGCCTCCCAAAGTGCAGGGATTACCGGTGTGAGCCACCGCACCTGGCCCTTTTTTTTTTTTTCTGAGATGGAGTCTTGCTCTGTTGCCCAGGCTGGAGTGCAGTGGCGCGATCTTGGCTCACTGCAACCTCCAACTCCCGGGTTCAAGCAGTTCTCCTGCCTCAGCCTCCCAATAGCTGGGATTACAGGTGCCCACCAAAATGCCCGGCTAATTTTTGTATTTTTTGTAGAGTCAGGGTTTCACCGTGTTGGCCAGGCTGGTCTCGAACTACTGACCTCCGGTGATATGCCCACCTTGGCCTCCCAAAGTGCTGGGATTACAGGTGTGAGCCACCATGCCTGGCCTAGTTCTTACAGCTCTTTGGGTTGAAAGAACCACACAAAGTACAGCATCATAGCCGGGTGTGGTGGTGCGTGCCTGTCGTCCCAGCTACTCGGGAGGCTGAGGCTGGAGGATCTCTTGAGCCCAGGAGTTCTGGGCTGTAGTGTGCTATGCCGATCGGGTGTCTGCACTAAGTTCGACATCAATATGGTGACCTCCTGGGAGCAGGGGACCACCAGGTTGCCTAAGGAGGGATGAACCGTCCCAGGTCGGAAGTGGAGCAGGTCAAAACTCCCGTGCTGATCAGTAGTGGGATCGCGCCTGTGAATAGCCACTGCACTCCAGCCTGGGCAACATAGCGAGACCCCGTCTCTTTTTAATAAAAAAAAAGTATAGAATCATAATGCTTAGGACCCACAGGACCTTCAAAATCATCTCAGTGGTTTTCAAGTTTTGCTACATAGACCTCCAGGACTCCACTAAGGGGTCTCAAAAGGACTGGGGGTAAAGGGCAGGGCCGGAGGCTTTGCCTTTTTACCCCTCCTTTGTATTATGAGCTTATGCATACATAGAAATTCATTGGAGGAAAGGCTTTTGCTCACCCACAGGTTTTTTCTTAATTATTATTTTTTTATTTTATTTTTTGAGACGGAGACTCGCTCTGTCACTTAGGCTGGCGTGCAGTGGCACGGTCTCAGCTCACTGCAACCCCTGCCTACTGGGCTCAAGCAATTCTGCTGCCTCAGCCTGCTGAGTAACTGGGACTTCAGGAGTCTGCCACCATGCCTGGCTAATTTTTGTATTTTTAGTAGACCAGGGGTTTTGCCATGTTGGCCAGGCTGGTCTTGAACTCCTGATCTCAAGTGATCCACCTGCCTCAGCCTCCCAAAGTGCTGGGATTACAGGTGTGAGCCACCACGCCCCCAAAACCTCTTTTTAGTCCAGTCATTCCTTGGGTATCTAAATCTCACCTTCCCCACACCCTTTTCATCTGCTCAAGGTCCCCTGGCCTCTGCTGCCTCTTTCCCTCAGGCAGAGGAGGTTGCTGGGAGAGGAACCAGACCCTGCACTTCCTATGACCTGCTTGCTCGGGGCTTGCACTGTCTGCCACCCCTCACTCACTGACTGATTCTCTTGTCCCAGGTTCAGCTTTTCCTAGTGTTTCTTTTCTGAAACCATTTATCAAGTCAACAAATATCTTTGTGCTGTTCTTAACAGTTAATACCCACGTTTTGTTAAAATTCTTTAAGTACGTATGTTTTCTTGTTTTAAGGAGAATGTTAGACTTATTTTTATTATTCTTATAGTCAGGGAAGGTATATTAGATAGGACAGTCATGGCAATAAGTGAACAAATAAATGAATCAGACCAGGCGCGGTGGCTCACGCCTGTAATCCCAACACTTTGGGAGGCCAAGGCAAGCTGATCACCTGAGGTCAGGAGTTCAAGACCAGCCTGGCCAACATGGGGAAACCCTGTCTCTACTACATATACAAAAATTAGCAGGGTGTGGTGGCACACGCCTGTAGTCCCAGCCACTCGGGAGGCTGAGGCAGGAGAATCACTTCAGCCCAGGAGCTGGAGATTGCAGTGAGCTGAGATTGCACCACAGCCCTCCAGCCTGGGTGACAAGAACAAAACTCTGTCTCAAAAAAAAAAAAAAAAAAGAATCAATATAAGCTTTATTTTTCTTAGTCATTATTCCTGTTCCTGGCCTGACTCAGAGGCCTGGGGCAGTAGGAGAGCAGGAAGGCAAGCAGCCTTTCTTGGACATGGCATGAATGCATAGGTAATAATACTTATAATAATAAGTAATTGGTACTGTTCTTAGCATTTTACATATATTAACTCACTTATCTTGGCAACAACCCCACGCTGAAGATTCTATTAATGTATCCACTTTATGGATGATGAGACAGGCTGAAGGGTAAAGGAGTTTGCTCAATATACACAACTACAGTGCCTGGCAACTAGAAGCACCCCACTGGGCGATCATCCTGGCATTGATGGCCTCTCACAAGACAATCCAAAGAGGAGAACATCAGCCTACATTTAGCAGTCTGTCTTTGCAGGCTAGTCTTCTCCTCTTTGGGATTCTACCTCTTGCTCTCATGACAGCCTTTTCCAGTAGCCCAGTAGCCAGGCATCCCCTCACTTACCATGTCCACCCTGTCTCTGCCTCTTGAAACCTGACCCATCCTTCAGGGCCTTGCTCTGGTGTCACCTTTACCATGAAGCCATCCCTGATCCCCCACCAAGCTGGAAAGACTCTCTCCCGCCTCTTTGTTCCCCATGCAGTTTGTTGGAATCTGGGTGGTGGCTAGCGCCACAGTCTGTCATATTATCACTTTTTGTTCTGTGTATGTGTGTGTGTGTGTGTGTGTGTGTGTGTGTGTGTGCACGCACATGTGCCTGCACGCACCTGGCTTCTGTGCTAAGCCATATGCTTCCTGAGGGCAAGGCTTTGTCTCTGGGAATCTCTTGCAAGGAACAGGCCCACAATGAATGTTGCTGAAACCAGGAGAATGGATTGAGTCTTGCTGGGAATCACCAGGCCAAGTAAATACACTGCTAAAAAATAAGTATGCTGCTCCCCAATCCCAAGTCCTTGGCTTTTCTGGGGATTTGAGTCTAGAGCAAGGATTCAGCCTTTGACAAATGACTAGGACTCTGTCTGCCAGGTAGGGCCGCTTGGCCAGTGCTGGTGTCACATCTCCCAGGACCTTGTGGTCCTCTCCACTCCAGAGCCCCTCCCCCCTTATCTCTCAACTCTGGCTGCCCCCTCCACTGAAGATCTCAGGAGCCCCACACCTTAGCAAAGCTGAGAATCCAGTCACCATACGGGAATGTGGTGTATGGGGAAGCTGGAGCCCCCCACCCCCTTCAGGCTTCATGTTCTGCCCTGATTATGCCTCCAATATGACTCCCAGGGAAGGCAGGGCTGGGGGGGGCATGTGGAGACTAAGGAGCACGGGGAAGAGAGGGAGCAGAGAGGAAGGCAAAGGCAGCAGAAAGAAAAGTGTGCGTGGTGGGAGGCGGCGGGGCTCGACCTCGGGCCTCTCTGGACGCCCGGCAGCGCCAGGCAGGGCCCGGGTCTGGTCGGTGGAGGACAACTTCTGCCAGCAGCCCGCCGCGAGTCAGCCCGCCTCCCGCGCGCTGCGGTGCCCAGCCCCGCGCCAGCCCTCCCCGGGGAGCTGGAGCCCGGCCGCGCTGCTCCCCCCGGGGCTGCACCGGCGCCCACACCCCCCACGCCCACCGACCGGCCTCCTCACCTTCGGGACCTGGGAGCCACCGGCCGGCGGGGCCCGGGGTCGGGGCCGGGCTGGGTGGGGGCGGCGCTCTTTTCCCCCGCGCTAGCTGCGCCCGGGGTTCCGCAGCGCCCGCCCTGGCTGCGGCGCCATCAGCTGCTGGGAGGCTGCGGGGCAGTCGGGCAGGGGCTCCGGGGGTTCGGGGGCGCCGAAGGGGGCCGGGGCGGGCTCGAGGCGTAAACACCCAGCAACGTGACCGGAACTGGCGAACGAGCTGGAGGGGTGCGGGGGGCGGGAGAGATGAAGGGGGAGGGGAGGGACCAGGGGCGGGCGGGGCGGGGCCGTGGGCGGGGCGGGGGGGAGGCCGGCGGCGCGCGGCCGGGGGAGGGGGAACCCCGGGAGCCCCGAGAGCCCCGGGACCCGGGCCAGAGGCCCCCGGCGGGCCGCTAGGCTCGCGGAGCTGGCTTTGGCTGCGCGCTGGAAGGGCGGCGACCTCGGGAGCCCGCTGGTGCCCGGGCGAGCAGGGGCGCGGCGGGGGATCAGCACCGCGGACAGCGCCCGGGCCGTCAGGCCGCGATCCGCTCCGCCCCTCCCGCCCTGGCGTAGGAAGGAGAGGCCGTGCCCGCGCCCGCGCAGGGAAGACTTGCGGCGAAGCGCGATCTGACCCGTGGGCTGGGAATCCGTCCCGTGTCCAGGCGGCGGCAAGGCCGCCCCAGACCTCTCACTAGCTGCGTGGCCTTGGGTGAGTCACATCACCTCTCTGGGCCCCAGTTGATAAGACGCCCTATTTCACCCTCTATGAGAGTCCCAGGATCAAAGGGAAGATCCTTTATGAACTCCAAAGTTCGGCCGGGCGCGGTGGCGCACGCCTGTAATCCCAGCACTGTGGGAGGCCGAGGCGGGTGAATCACCTGAAGTCAGGAGTTCAAGACCAGCCTGGGCAAAATGGTGAATCCCAGTCTTTACTAAAACTACAAAAATTAGCCGGGCGTGATGGTGGGTGCCTGAAATCCCAGCTACTGAGGAGGCTGAGGCAGGAGAATCACTTGAATCGGGGAGGCGGAGGTTGCAGTGAGCTCAGATCCACTGCACTCCAGCCTGGGCAACAAGAGCAAGACTGTGTTACAAACAAAAAAACTCCAAAGTTCAGAACGAGTGCAAGGCATTGCTGTTGATCCTTTTTCACCGCACACGGGAGGCTTCAGGAGTCCCACTGTGTCTGGCTAGCCTAACATCTTCCTCTTCCCTGGGTCTTGGTCTCATCTGTAAATGAGGATACTGATGGCATGTAGCTCATAAGATCTTTGGACTGTGTGAGGATTAAATGAATTCCTACATGTAAAGTGCTCAGAACAGCACTGCTGAGTGCTCGTTAGGCCTCTGTGCTCATGACAAGGGATGAGGTGGGATTGTGAGAGTGGCAGCTGGCTTAGAGACTCCTCTGGGTAACTCATTCCTGTCCCTGCCTGGAGGACTGGGGCGGATTCAGGCTAACAGGCTGCTGCCTGGCTTTTCCCACTCTATTGCTAACCCAATGATCCTTGCCCTTCCTCCCAGGCCAGATTTCCAGAGAAGCCCTCTACCTTCAGAACAGGGAGACCTGGCACCTGCCACAAAGGCCCTGGGAGACTTCAATGGCACCCTGCCTTTCTATGGGTCCTTTTCTTCCCCAATTTCCAAAGCTTAACTGGACTCAGGTGCCAACAAATAAAAAGCTGTAGCTTGCCGGACACGGTGGCTCACACCTGTAATCCCAGCACTTTGGGAGGCCTAGGCAAGTGAATCACGAGGTCAGGGGTTCAAGACCAGCCTGGCCAAGATGGTGAAACGCTGTTTCTACTAAGAACACAAACATTAGCCAGGCGCGGTGGCAGGCGCCTGTAATCCCAGCTACTTGGGAGGCTGAGGCAGGAGAATCACTTGGACCCGGGTGGCAGAGATTGCAGTGAGCCAAGATCATGGCACTGCACTCCAGCCTGTGGGATAGAGTGGGACTCCATCTCAAAAAAGAAAAGAAAAGACAAGACAAGAAAAGAAAAAGAGTTGCAGGAATGACCTGACAGACCATGGTCTTTGAATTTTGCTCGAAGGCCTCTCAAATCCCACCCAGCAGGAACTCTAGCTTCTAGCTGCACTGTGAGTGGCCCCTCTTCACCCTGTGAGGAAATTCTGGGGAGAGGAGCAGAAAGGCCAGCCTCATCACGCTTCCTGTCCCTTGTTGTCCATCCTAGAGGGGAGCATTCCTGGACTGTGCTCCCTGGACTTGCTTATCAGTATCTCCAGCAGCAGTGTGAGTTCTGACGAACCATCCATATTCCCTCAATTTCGGTAAGAATGATGAAAGGCATGTTTGTTGATGTTGTTTTTAGACAGAGTCTCACTCTCGCCCAGGCTGGAGTGTAGTGATGCCATCTCGGCTCACTGCAACCTCCGCTTCCCAGGTTCAAGCAATTCTGCCTCAGCTTCCCAAATAGCTGGGATTACAGGCACGTACCACCACACCCGGCTAGTTTTTTTATTTTTAGTTGAGATGGGGTTTCACCATGTTGGTCAGGCTGGTCTCAAACTCCTGACCTTGTGACGCACCTGCCTTGGGCTCCCAAAGTGCTGGGATTACAGGTGTGAGCCACCATGCCTGGCCTGTTTTGTATCTCCAAATGCACGTAGTATGAAGGAGGCTGACAACCTGGCCTCTGGCCCCAGCTGTGTTACTTACTACTTGGGTAATCCTGGGCAAATCTCAGCGTCTCAGAGATCCAGTTTTCTCTCAGTAAAATGGGAAGAGTAACAGCTATTCTGCCAACAGAATCCTTGTGAGGCTGTCTTAAGGTACAAGTGAAGGGGCTGGTAAAGTGCACATGGATAGAATTGTTATGACCAAGTCTCAAATGTTTTTCTCTTTGATCTGTGTTAGGATGAATCTTGGAATTCTGGCTTTTCTTTTTTTTCCTTCTTCTTTTTTTTTTTTCTTTTTTGAGATAGAGTCTTGCTCTGTTGCCAGGCTGGAGTGCAGTGGTGCGATCTCAGCTCACTGCAAGCTCCACCTCCCGGGTTCAAGTGATTCTTCTGCCTCAGCCTCCCAAGCAGCTGGGACTATAGGCTCATGCCACCACGCCTGGATAATTTTTGTATGTTTAGTAGAGATGGGGTGTCACAATATTGGCCAGGTTGATCTCGAAATCCTGACCTTGTGATCCACCCGCCTCGGCCTCCCAAAGTGCTGGGATTACAGACGTGAGCCACCATGCCCAAACTT